ATTAGTATTTTTGTCATGCCTTGGTACGGTTTTGTAACAAACGAGATCGAGCGCATCTCCCTCAAACCACACAAACCACTCTAGGCTTCATGACCAAAAAGGAATACGACTCTACGTACCTCGTCTACTCAGTCACTATTCTGTTCCTCTGGTCATTCTACTAATACATATTCAACGATAACTCGGTGCATCTGTCATAACGCAGACGACAACGTCCACTGACTTCAAATTTTATGATTATTATCAATTGCAGTACAGCAACGAATATCACCCGTCGATGCACATATCATTTCACGACTTTGCTATTATCATCCTACGCATTTAATTTCGAATTCACTCATCACTAGTCAATGCGATTTATTCTGCTGCGGCTCAACAGAACATATATTTCGCATATTTCACTATTCTGTCGGCATCACAGACCAATTTCTGTCATATTCTACTCTAGCCATTTTGACGATTTATTTCCCTGTCATACCCACAAACAATTTATTACTATTTTCACGATATTTTGAATCATTCATACAGACGTGTTATTTTATCGTTCAGACAATCACAGCATTGGTACATGTTAATTTTTTGTACGCTCATTAATTTGCTCATATTCACATGCTAAAATTTTCATTTTTGTCCGCGTCTTTGCGATATTCATGTATTTTTTGCATAAGCATGACATTTTCATATAATACACTCACCCCTCATGTGACACTACTTTATCGAGTGTTGTACAATTTTTTTTGGCTACTTATTGTTAACGTTAGCTTCATATCACTTCAGTGTTATTTTCGAAAACAGACATTTTTTCAAATGTGCTATTTTCTACGAGGGGGCTATGTAGTGTCAGTTATCATGCCAAGCCCATATACCTTATTCTAACTTCCGGACATCCTATTTTATTCATTTTACTTGAGCCATATTTTGACCTTGTCATTTATTCGCTTATCAACTAGACTGTTTTTATATGAGCGTATATGTGTGTGCACTTCTTATTTCATTAATCACATGTCTGTACCTTTAATTTGTCTGATTATAAATATTGAGTAATGTTCGGCTTGAATTGGAGTTGGCTTCCCAGCCATCCTCCCTGTGCTTCATTTTTGCTTGGCTCTGTTTCATTCACTTCATATACAAAATATATGTATTCAAATGCCATTCTCGTTAATTGACTTATTTAATTCCGTTATGGACTAACGCGATTTAAGTCGACGATGATATACGAGAATAGGTGATAACAACCATTTATACGATCTTGGAGTCAGATTCACGAGCCATTTCAAGTGTATCCAAATAATCTAAGATGTCATTAATCAGTGGGGAATGACATACACCTCAAACATCATTCATATTTAACTAATTCTGTTGAAAATGGTCTCATCCTGCCGCGTTTGTGTCAAAGCATCTTTTACTACTGGTATTTTCTACCAGACCAAAATCTCATGTAATAGTATCTCTGGTCGATTAAGTGAGCCTATTACAGACTGTGAAACTATACAGTATTTCTTCAATGCTTAGCGAGGATTTTTTTTTATTAATCTTCTAATGTTTCATATGAAAAACTGTACCATTTATTGAATATATGACTCCAATAAATAGGCAAAATACGAATGTCTTATGTTACTTAGACATATCCTTTTAGTCGGTGATTTTTTAAAACTTAACCCCAAATTTTAGTTATTTTAGTGTTTGATGCTTTGTAACAGGATACTGCTCTAATTAATTTTTACTGTTTATTTGGAATTTTCCATTGATGTTTAAGACTGCAATTAACATTTGCATCCGGTTCGGTTTATCTCGATACTGCCATTATATCACAAGCGTACATAAGCAAAGGTGGATGGTGGTATATGGTGGAATCTCAAACGCATATTTCGCCTTATTCGGTACTCTTCGATTGATTGTATATCGGCTTACTCCTAAGTTAGGATTATTGATTCGAAATAGTGAACTCTAGATATAGTACTTCAGTGTGTTAACATGATCCGATATATTTTACATAGAGAATCAAGCTATGTTTGTTTATCCTAGTTTGGAGTAAAACATTGTAAGTGTGAAATATCTTACCTCACTTTTTCCAATTTTTAATTACAAGTAAGGTCGAAACCCATCTTCTTTCGACTTTGTGGGAAAACTTCTGGTTGTACTTTCCTGTGGGTCAATAGTACTCTGAATGTTTTCAAAGAAAAATAATAAGATCGAAAGTACCGTAAAAGTCAATAATTAGCTAGTAAACAATGGAAAATTCCGAGAGAATTCAAGGAGGAATTTTACTTATTCACAGACGTTTACTAAATTGAAAATAAGATAAATGAAGAAACCACGGGAATGAGATTTCTAGAAGATAATTCATTTGGAATATGAACTATCATTTTCATAACAATCTGTAAACAATAGTATAGTAAGAGGTTCACTGTTTGAAAGAAAGTAGAGCAGAAACAAAACATGAAGAAGAGGTGTACGGTCGTTTACTTTGTCAAAGTGTTGAATAGCATTTAGCTAATGATACGTGGATATTCGTTTCTTAATAGTCTCGTCATGGTACCGAAATATGGATATACTAGATATTATACTCATAGATTAACATTCACGCCTAACGACCAGTTCATATTCTGTTAAGAAGTATTCTTAAGAAAAAAAAACGAGTTTCCAATAAAACCTTTAATTCATTTTTTTTATTTTTTTACCAGGAAAAAATCAAACAAATTGCTACATCAAACAACCGATACAAAAATAATCCCTTATTTAGCCTCACGTCACATCGAGTCACTTTTTATGTTTCTTTCCAGAAAAGCTAGTAGTCTGTTAAGGCTTATGGAGTGGACATTATTTCTCTCAATGTAAATCGCATGCATAAAAGTAATTTTCTAAGCAACCAATCATCAAGCTGATTACACAATAGTTGACCTCCATGACTGAAAACTCTACGATTGGTCGATTGATTTTAATAAATGATATGCAAATAAATCCCCATAAACTATTGGGCAAAAAGAAGCGTACAAAAAGAATGTCCTAGCATAAATAACGCCCGCGTATTTCGATAAATAAGCTTGATGAAAGTCATTCAAATCAGAATCTTAGTCTCCCTTTAGTCAGTTTGTCTTTGATAAATATGCGTCCTGCTTGGTAGCATTCTGAAGTAGAATAAATGTTTTATCCCAAGAAAGAATTGTCTAAATGCAATAACTGAAGTTCAGCATCAGGGATAAGTAAAATACATTACAACAATAAAAAGACTTATTCGTGATCATGGTGCATCTAAATATACTGAATAAATTTATAGTTTTGTAAAATAAGCGAGATTTCCCCTTTTAAAAGATTTTCAGTCGGATTTCCCAATTGTTGTAAATATAGATTCTTATTCATACAGTTCAAAAGAGTTTCCTATTGATCCTCGTTATCACAGTATCTGTTTCTAAATTTTTCAGCTTTTCAACTTATGTATTTAAAAGTTTAGGGTTATATTTAAACAGCTATTTTCATCCAGGCCTTTGTTAGTGAAAGTATCAAAGATATTCATTCGCTATTTATCGCCTGACTATAAGTTACATTCGATTTTAAGAATTCATGTTTTTACAAAATATCACCAATTCTTTAACTTTTTAATTCCTCTGTTTCCACCAACTGAAGCTAACTCGTGGTTTTTTGTTGAAATTTGACGTGGTGGTTTATTCAAATGATCGTAGTTGGATTACTATGATATCCCTCTTTAAGATGTAACAATAATAATTGCCAGTATGGAGGTTCGTGGAAATCGTTGTATTCTAATAGTTGAATTCATCAGTCAATGCAATCTAGACCACTATTAAAAATCTGGAATCACTACACAGCTGTCTCGACCTAGTATGGGACTCCACAACAGTGCTCGTCCACGAGTCTGCACACGGTAGTCGAACCCAAGACCTTCGGTCTAGCGCGCGAACGCTTTACCTCTAGACCACTGATCCGGAATTCAACGGTGTTAATTTCTGACTTCAATCGATTGTGGATACGCACTGTTGAGGAGTCCCATACTGAGACTAAATGGCCGTTCAGTGTTTCCAGGTTTTCATCAGTTGTCTAGCTTAGATTGACTAGTGAGTTTAACTGTTAAATTAATAACTTTGTCGGATAGATAATCACAAACCTTCAAGTTGAATTATCTCAATAAGTGGTCATATTTCAATAAAATTATATCCAATATAATCGAATGTAAAAAAAGTTTATTCAAATGTCATGGGAGAGATGTATCATTCTTCATTAATCTCCGTACTAAGAACACTTAGCTGTGTGACTACTAGCTGACTGATCATTACTGAGTAAAAAAGTACCCATAAAGTCAACAGTAACGTCTATCCTCTGTACGTAATCGAACAGTCACTCAAATTACACTGTTTCAGGAAAGAAGCTCAAGATTTATAAAACTTCGTGTAAGTATGTTTCATGAGCTTCAAGAACAGCTCTTCAATTAATGTACTTGACTAATCGTGACACTGGGAATCTTATAGTAAAATTGTCAACAAAAACCAACAAGGTCTACTTTATGTTCCGCGAAGAATTGAAGTTTTTTAGCTTGAATTAAAATTCATCGTTATAAATCACAATAATATGTGTATTTAATTTTATAAACAATAAACACAAAACAATCTTTCATAAAAGAAGAATAAAATACATCACAGTTGTTGTTTTGTGTGTCAAAAACAGATAGAGTCATCTAACTGACAAGAAATTAGTATAGTCGAGAATTCAATTTCCTTGCTTTTCGCTTATGTAATAATATCTACCACAATTTTCTAGAGTCTACTGCTCGCACATATCTTAATGAATACTAACCAAATTAACAAATGTCCTGATAGTCAAAAATGTCTGAATCCCAGACTGTTCACTAGCAGTCAGCACTTTGTGTATTATTTACATCGTTTACAATTTATGATGATCGGTAATGTTTTCTTGTTTTATCCTAACCAAACTAATTACAATTTTCATGGGACATCATCCATCAATAAAAGAGTAAGCAGAGAACTTAATTATTTTTAGAAAATATTTTTATTTAATTATAGAAATTACCATTTGAAAAACATGTTGATTAAACCTTCTAATTCTAGAGAAACAACATAAATTATTCACTTCAGAAGTTATTTAAATAAACAGATAAAAAGTCATCTGACTATTATTAAACCAGTCATCAAAAAATTACTTATATGTTTGACGTACGTAGGCTAAGAACTCATCATAGTCTAGTTCACCATCCTTGTTTTTGTCATTTTGTGTCATCCAATTATGTAAACTTTTTTGGTCTATATCCATACCGGAGGATTTTAGAAATTCGTCCAATTCTTTGATAGAAACTTTTCCTGAACCATCCTTGTCTATGGACTGAAATACTTCATTCCATCTTGCAACACTTGAAATAAAGACAGTAAGACGATTGAATGTGGAAAGATGTGATGAATAATAATAATGAAAACAGTTGAAACTCAGATGATCATATAGTCAAATCACAACTATATAGATCACCGAAAAATAAAGGTAATGCTGTACACAACTTAATGCAAATGAACATCCAAACATCACGTAACTGTTAGAGTCGTGTATGAATGTTAGTTTAAACAGTTTATTTTATTTATTAGCTTTCGCTATCCTCACAAGTATGATTCTGAAATCAATGAATAGTCTATTTGGGGCTAAAATTGTCCTCACATATAGTCTCACCAGTGAATTCTCTAAAAGTGTTCTTTGTCAACTAATTAAATATTACTTCCTTGAATAGATATGATTAGCAATTATTTATTAACTGTATTGTGGTTCTTACCAGATGATTTCCTATTTTATATTTCATTTGTCAATTGAAAGCGCTCAACTTTCGACAATATTGGAAAAAACATTTACTTGCTTATCAAATACAAATAAACTTACCACTTTTCACGAGGAGGGAGTTTTCTTAGAGCGTTTAAATACTCCTCTAAAGAAATTTTTCCATCACTATTCATATCAGTTTCCTTGATTATTTTCTACACAACATAAATGTAGATTTGAGAGACAAGGTACAAATATTAATATAATACATAAATAGCATATATATATATATATATATATATATAACTCTCCCTTTCTGTTTCAGTCAGTCAGTCAATCACTCAGTAAGTAACAACGTAGAACTTCGTACGTACGTACATCAGTTCGAGTTGCCACACCACATTAGCACAGAGATGCAGTTGTCGATTCAGATCCCGTAGTGGTAGAGGTAGCAAGAGTATAAGCAGTAATCGGGAAGATTAGGGTTTGGAGATGTTATTTAAGGAGTATAATCCAGTGAAATAAATTTGGAAAGAGGAAAAAAGGGACATGAAGAATTCAGAAGATTAGAATTTGGGAGAACACAGAGAGTGGATGCACCTGAGCCATTGCAAACGATTTTGAGCCATGTCATTCAGGGTCTCTAACCATCGGTTGCTATCATCTCGCGATCCTCAACCAGGTAGTCTACACCTACCAACATGACTCAGTTCACTTGTCAGTGACTTCATGAACTTGTGCCATGTTTTGGTTTGGCCGCCCCTAGCTTTCTTCCAACCTACTCCTATACCACTGAACACAGCACGTCGAGGAGGATTCAACGTAGATATAAAAGCAAGGATTGGCAAAGTAGGAAGGACCTCATTCCTACGGTTGAAGGACATATGGAACTCCAAACAACTATCGACCAATATCAAAGTAAGAATCTTTAATGCGACAGTCAAGATAGTTCTACTGTATGGAGCTGAAACTTTAGCAGCAACTATAATCATCATCAACGAGTATTTATAAACAATTTTCTACGCAAGATACTAAATGTCCGTTGACCGGATACCATCAGCATCAGCCTACTGTGGGAGAGAACAAATCAGCTTCCAGATGAAGAGGAAACTAGGAAATTATGATGGATATGGATAGGAAATACATTAAGGAAATCGTCAAAGTGCATAACGAGACAAGCTCTAACTTGGAATCCTGAAGGGAAACGGAAAACATGGAGGCATAATAACATGCTGCATCGAGAATTAGAAGCAGACGTGAAAAGGATGAATAGCAACTGGAAAAAAGTTGAAAGGATTGTCCAGGATAGCTTGGGTGGAGTATGCTGATGGGAGGCCTATATATATATACATATATGTTGAGCCGTGAAAACCAGCACCAGTGGTTTGATTAGATGAATATTTCAGTTGCAGATTGACACGATGAACATTAGAAATATTCTTACAGGGTACTTTCAACTAAGTAGAGTTCACTATAGTTGAACGTAGCAGCCAATACACGGATATACCGAAAAATTAAAACAAAACTGTCTGTTCATTGAAACAAAATGGGCTATAAATCGCTCAATTACATCAAAGTTACGTGATATTATTCCGTATATTATCTGAATGTTTCAATATGATTTTAACGTTATCTTTTAACATTCTTTTGCTCAGTTTCTTAAATTAGGGTTCCCAAAATAAATGTTTAGTGGAACGAAAAGTATTCTTTTATTCCTCCAGGAGTTCTTCTGAAAAATATCCTGATGAGAAGAGGAATTTCATTTAAAGTAATTACAGTTATTTAGATATCTCAGTTTAAAATATATTTCTTTGAAAGGAATAAACTTTTTAGTCTTCTTTGAGCAATTTACATTCAAGTAAATTTCGAACACTTAGAAAATAATTATATTGATAATGATTAGATCAACCAGTCTATTCTGAATTCATTTTTATATTTAAAGCTTCTAATTTTCATGGTTAACCTACACCGATTTCAAAAGAACGAAATTTCATGCATTCTCCTGTTCGTTTACCATACTCAGTCTAAGGTTACTAGCAGCTTTGTGCACAAATTTACCAAAACAGCTATCAACGGGCCATGTAAGGAAAAGGATACAAAACTTATTAAATGACTAAAGAAATTTAACGTCCTGAATATTCATGAAGTTAACTAGACTCTAATATGTAATGCTTAACTTCCATAAGTTTTGAGTGTGAGCTCGTTTCTACAAATCATTGTAGATGTTCAACATGTGACTGACGTACTCTAATGATTCTTAAGATAAAAAGACAACACTTCCTATGACGAAATTGGGGTTTTATTTACCCAGAGTTTACATGCAATAAATAGAAAGATATTATCTAAAACTTTGCGTTAGAGCAAAAACTAATTCACAAACAGTAAGTTATGGAAATTTATTTCGGACCTACTTAGATTGTCAAGTAAAGATAAGTAATTAATGATTAGTTTAGGATTGTATGGTTCTTGTCTGTATATAATATATTAATACATAAATGAAATATTTACTGTAGAGTCATTAAAATCGAGTATAACATTCTATTTTCCAAATGTCTACTTAAATGCTAGTCGCGTACAAACGTTAACTTCAATTTTCAAAGTTTCTTATGGAAATTCACTGATAGGCTGGGGTAATGATACATTTGCCAAAAAATAAGAACTTTCTCCACTTACGTCTGCGACATTCGGACAAACACCAACTTCTTTTAAGCACTGTGCAATTTCTTCACGAGTAAGAAACCCATTTTTGTCTTTGTCTATTGCGTGAAAAACTTCAGTCCATTGTTTTTCCTGTGACATTATTTTGAGATAAAGTGTAGATTGTAATTGTTGCTTATTCTGTTGACGTTGTAGTTTGCTAAGTGAATTGTAGGGCTTTATATACCTTTATTATAGAAAGAAGATAGATGGGTACTTATAAACAGGGTACTTTTTTAGTACCTTTCTTAGCTCAATATATAAAAGTATTACTGTTTAATTGTTCATAGTAGTATTACCAATCACATTATTGTTCTGTTGTTGATGCTAATTTTATTATTATTATTATTGTCCTTAAAAGGACACAATATAAAAAACAAATATGACTGTAATAACTAAGCATATGATTTACGCTTATATTGTGAACAAGTTGTTTTGTGTACACAAAACAAAAAGACAAACAAACAGGAAAACAATAAATTCTTTCACTATTGCACTTGGTATACTTTATTTTCATTAAATTGCACACCTTATATAACAATTTTAATCAAGTATGTTGAAAAAGTTTAGCATTATCATTCGATTTAGTTAGAACTTCTTACTTTTCTAGTAGTACATATTTTTAACATCTTTACTGAGTATGTGCTAACTGTTAAATGTTTAACTTTTTAAAATGATTAATAAACGCTATCGAAACTAAATAAGTGTGTTAGCATGTTAAAGAATATCCTGCTGTTAGAAACCTAATGTTTAACTGTTAATATAGATAATCAATATAGACTTCAAGAATTCCACATATTACATTTGTTACATCATTACTAATTAACGGATAATCCTACTTTGCTATTGTGTAATGATGGAAATAAAACATTTAAATCTCGGTAAATTTTATCAACAGGAAAATATGCAAACTAGACGTTAGTTACAGAGTTAGCATATATATAAAAGAATGATTGATTGTCTAATGTTTATGTTACGTGAATACGATCATCTATTTACGGATCATATTCTCTTTTCACTTATAAGTCCCAGAATATTGTCGACCTCTAGCTACAAATATTTCAGTGATTCATTTTTATTGTCTCAAAGTACTACAAAAACCCTTAGGACCGCTAGACCTGTTCGTTAGCTAATGTTTTATTCAACACTTTTTCTTGATCTCTTCGTTTACATTAGTTTGATATGTAACCTTATTTATTCGAATAAACTGTGTTACGACAGTTCGAGTAGCCATAAATTTAACTGGACTGAGACTTCAATGAATACATATCTTCAAAATCAAGTACAAAGTAATTTTGTTGCTTCCTGAGATTGGAGCTGAGTTGTGTTCTGAAAATGATTCTTTGATGTCTGTACGAATGTAGTCCGTTCATATGAGTTCATGGACGTATGTTGTCATCATCCACTGGTGTATTAGTGACTCATTAAGTATGTTTCGGACATATTTAAAAAATTTATTTTAATAATTACTACTAATAATAACAGTTATTTAAGATAACGTCCAGCTAAAGAGCCGTATGAGTCAATATGATAAATACTTAACCGACGATAAGTCAGAAGTATGTATAAAAAGGCTTGAAGTGTAGTATATGTTTGGAGGAAATGACTTGAAATCAGAATATGCCTCAATCCATTACATTAAAATGCTTAGCAATTCCTGATAAGCCCACTTTCCTTTACAACAGAAGTCTTACATTTATAGTGCTAAGCCATCACTTAATCCCTGGTACTGTTATACCTACTCTAGGACGGAAATTCTGCAACTACCAAAATACTCCTTTCAGGATGGAATCGCTTCATATATTATTAAATTGGCTTTAAACTTGTTTTGTTGAAATTCCCAAAAAATCATCAGACTTATTAGACAAGAACTCCTTATTCGTGGATGTTGTTAGTCGTAAATCAGAAATGTCGACGGATGTCGACCGTTGATACCGGATCTGTAGATCCTAAAAATACATTTATGTTGAGTTTTCTTGGTTAAAAACTGAAGATTATTCTACTAAAATTTCTCAAATCTGCGGTTTCTATTTGTCTAAAGTGCAATGGTCAACTTCATATTCAAATGTTGTCCTGACCTTTATTTTGAGGATAAACTTGATTATACGTCAGATGATCTATCTGCTCAGACATTATCAGTAAGACGTCCAATATATTGGAAGTATTCTGTTTACCACACACAAATGTTGAAATCCTAATGCTTAAACAATCACTTCGTCACCACAGCTTTGCTACATAAATCAGGACTTGGTAATCAGCAGAGTGAACTTTTGGTGGTTGCGTAAGTTTATTTGCTTTTTGGCTGATAGAGATTTAAATAGACATAAGTAGTACAGAAAACGATTATCACAGATCCCGTATGTCGAAAATCCACCAGTTGTAATGAACTTCGTGTCCATTTTCGTTCATGGCTTGGGGGAGCATTTACAAAGTTCATTGGGTTTCATCTCTCAGCACGTATTGTGCACGAGCTCTCACTGACATGCTTTATAAAACCCATGTCATTTTCAGCGACTTGATTAGTGTTTATTCGTTATACATGCACTGTAAAAGGTATTCAGTTGCATTTCAGATAAACAATAGTCCTCAACTTGCTGCAGATTATGTAACAACTTGAATTTTAAAGTGATGGTATGGAATTGTCGAGCTACCATGCATACTTCGTGTTTGTAACTGTTGCTACTTTCATAATACATTGATACTGTTGAGCTAAAGTTTTATGTTAGATTCAAGTAACAATTTTGATTCGCTTTAAGTAACTCTTGAAATTATATAGAAAAGAGGTAAGCATTATTGATTTGAATTGGATTCTTTATTCTATAGCAAATAATCTGAGACCAGAATACTTGAAATTTTAGATAAATGAAATAAATAAATCTTTATACTGGGATAAGTACAAAATACATGTCGATTTACAGGGATGATCAGTCTGATACAGACAGCAACGTTATATGTAAAGGACAGACATACGAGATTAAATTATTTGAAGTGGTGTAGTTCACAAACTATTTTAGGAGAACATTTGTCACATGAATTACAACAATATGAGGAATCAATGAAGAACAATGAATTCTTTGTTGGAGGATTAAGACATCTTGCTAATATATAAATAATTTATTCGCGTTTATTTCCAATGTCATTATAGAGTAGTTATAAATATTAGATGCATGAACCAAGGACAATGTAAATGTAAAATATCTATAAGAAGAGGAGTTGAATAAATAAACTAAGTGATGTCAATCGTTAAATATTGGTTGCTTTCCCTCCATCATTCGACATTGGTAAGTACTAAAATTGTTATACAAATAAATGTTTTACACTATGTGCTTTAATCTGTTATAATAATACAGTAAAATTAATTTCTGACTTTCAAAATCAAATTCTTAATTGCGTCTTGATGAAAACATAACACAAGTATAGTACTTCGTGAGACTTTCTTATGTTCATATGGAAATATAGTTTGACTTAAAAAAACAATGAAGGAAACTTTTTGCTAGTAGCTATACTAGTAGTAATACTTAATGCATGACAACTATCGAAAAAAACGTTACCTAAAGAAAAACAGCCAGCATCACATTATAGCGTATAGTCATATGTCAAGCCAACATGGGTTATTCTAGTTTCCGGAGACTGATTTATTCACTTATTAGCCTTGACTGTTATTATATGAGCGTACATGTGTGTATTGCATATCCTACTCATCACATGTCTGTAACTTATTTTCTTCTGACTGTAAATACCGAGGCGCGTTTTTTATTTTAGGAGAAAGAAACAGTTGATAAGTTAGCAGAGAATGGTGGGGAGCCCCTTTGTTTTAATGGTAACCGAGCCGTTATAATTGTGTAAAGTTTTAACCTCAAAATCCCACGTGTCATAGGCGAGACTATAATTTATGGACGAGCAAATGAGAAGCGTTTGAGGTATTTCAAGGTCACAGCGCCTATTTCAGTACTTAGTGCTAACGTACGTTCGGTTCACAGGTGGTTTTATTCAAAACGTGACAACTGGGCGCCTATAACAAGTAAAATGGCTAGGCTATAACTTGTAACGAACCAATAAGGTATAAGGTAACAGATCTCGTATTTTGGCGCGAAAGTCTTTCATCCATTTTTTAAATAGAGTTTTGGCATTATAGCTGATGTCAGTTCGTGATGAAAACTATATATCTAATTTGTAACTAAGGTAAATTATGGCAATTACTGTGGACTGGATAAGCACCAGTAACACTGGTTGCAGTCAGGTACTACAGTATATACGAATGATTAGAGAGCGTACAGAATCCTACATAGACTTGGTTATACGTATCGTGTCGCTATCCAAATGTGGCATTTTGTGTACTGAACAACCTCAGTGCTCACAAACAATATTGAAGCTATGTGGTAGAGGCCGAAAGAGTTCTTGCGACCCTATCATACCTCCAGAGGTGGACTATTCTGTATTCTATGGGCTTATGCTAAGTCACCCCTCTCTGATTTCCTGAGGCGTTTTGCACAGTGTAGAAAAAGTGTAACAACGTAACTAATAAGGCGAAACATAAGACCCTGTTGGAAGCAACCTCAAAAATCCTTACCAGCGTATCCGAATCGCGAAACACAGGTTCAACCAAACTTGTGGCAATGAGAGACAACACAACTCGAGCTCATATATTCATGAAATTACTAGTTGCTCCAAATATCTCAGTATCTGTCAGCAGCAAAAAGTAGTGGGTGGTCGTTGGGAGGAGAAATGGCAAAATATAGTTCCCAGAACGTTAAAAATGGGGTATAAATACTTCAAATAAAACTCCCTGATTGTATGTAATGTCTGAGTGTCAAAGAGTAGCTTATGAGAAAGTGAGGCAGCTCCTGATAAAGAACGGTAAGACAAATGATGTACAGTGTTTGGAATAAACATCGGCGAGACTACAATTTATGGACAAACCAATCACATTTAAGATAACAGGTCTTAGATTCTGGCGTGAATTTCATTCACCCATTTGGCTAAATAGAGTTTTGGCATCATAGCTGATGTCAGTTCGTGATGAAAACGCTAAATCTAATTCCTAACCTTAACCATCAACTTTAAATCATAATCCTTTTTCTTCAAACTGCTTTATAACCATCATTTAGCCTTAGTAAGTAGGTGGACACTCTCAAGGTTAGTCTAGCGTCGCTCAAAGGTCGTCCATAAATTATAGTCTCCCAGAAACATCACTTCAGCCTACCTAAGATAAACGCCTTCTATTAAGAATAACTAGATTCAGCATATACTACAGAAGAAATTTTACTGACATCACAGAGATCATCG